ACTAAAATTCTCCACACAACAAAGGAAACAATTAACAGAGCAAAGACAACCTGCAAACTTGGAGAAAATATTTGCAAACTATGTACCCAACAAGGAATTAATATCCAGAACATACAAGGAACTTAAACAACCCGACAGTAAAAAACAAGTAACCCTATAAAAAACTGGGCAAAGGAGCTGAATAGTCATTTCTCAAAGGAAGATATACAAATGGCGACACATGAAAAAATGCTCAACGTCACTCAGCATAAGGATAAATGCAAATCAGAACCACACTGAGATATCATCTCACCCTAGTTAAACTGGCCATTATCGAAAATACAGAGAATAAGAAATGCTGGTGAGGGTGTGGAGAAAATGGAAGGTTCCTAGACTGTTGGTGGGAGTGTAAGTGGTGCAGCCATTATGGAACATGGTACGGAGCTTCCTCAAACAACTGCAGGTAGAACTTCCACACGACCCAGCAACCCCACTGCTGGGCACATTCCCAAAGGAATGGAAATCACCCTGTGAAAGCGGCACCTGCCCTCCCATGTGTATCACAGCTCTATTTACAGCAGCCTAGAGTGGGAACCCACCTCAGTGCCCACCGTCGGATGAGTGGAGAAGGAAAATGCGGAATATTTGTACAATGAACTACTAGTCTGCCAAGAAAAAAACAATGAAATTCTGCTACTTGCAGCAACATGGATGAACTTCGAGAAAATAATGTTAAATGTGAGATAAGCCAGGACGGACAGAGAAATACTACGTGACCTCACTCAGGAGGGGGGGTAAAAAATTAAACCAATTTAAAAAGAAAGAAAGATGCAACCATCACTATAATACGTTGAACTTTCAAAAGTAGAGAACAGAACTGAGGGGACAGGGGCAGGGGAAGGGCAGTTAGCGATAAATCGGTAACGGGTGACACAGAATGATGACATTGTATAGTGACGAATATGGATTATCCTGATGTGATCACCACATATTGGGCACTGGTACTGATATTCAACTCTTTATCCCACAAATATGTAGAACCAATTAGGTTTCAGTAATAAAAGAAGCTGAAAGAAAAAAGAGTAACAGGGTGTTCTGAGAAGGACAGACGGGCAGCTGGCAAGTGACCTGCTCCACGTGTTTTATCAATGCAGATGATGGACAGGCCAAAGCTGGTGTCACCATTCCTGAAGAGGGTCCCCGACTCCTGCCAGCTTCCAGACCTGAGCCAGTTCTCAGACTCAGAAGCCATCGCGTGAAGGAAGGAGCCTTCGGTGCCACAGTCGTGATTATTGGGTGGATGTGATTCCCCGCAGGACACTGGACGTTCACCTGGACTCACGGTGCGCTGGGGAAAGGGAAGCACGCAGACCTCCCGGGGCTGTAGGACGGCGGGTCCACGCCCACACTGATGGCGGCCACTGCACGCTCACCACGCTCCATGTAGGGGCCAGTGAGAGCGTCCAATGGGCCATGACCCGCACGGTGGCCGTTTCTCCAGTGCCCAGATGTGTCATGTGACTGGACACCTCACGTGGGGCTGGAAGTGTCTGTGGAGGAGACAGAGGCCCCATGCCCTCTCCTCAAAGCCCCCACATAGGGGTCCCGTCGACTCCCCCCTTGGCTTATGGAACCAGGCCTCACAGTCACAGGAGGGAGCTACTCAACACTCAAAGGGCGTCGTCAACACCTGCGAACGCACGGACGCATGTCACAGGCACGCACAGAGAGGAAGAAGCCAGTCTCTGGATCTTATGCTCGTGTGGTCATGTTTATGGGACATCCTCAAAGGGACAAAACTGGACTGATGGACGTCTCAGTAGTGCCGGGGTGGGGGAGTGTACGACTGTAAATGGACAACACGAGGACGTGTTCTGTGGTGACAAAACTGTTCTGTGTCTCGACTGTGGCGGTGACATCAATTTATGCATGTGGTAAAGTTCATGGATCTGCACCAAACGAAAACATCAACCTTATCATACGGTGACATAAGTCTTTAGTTAGAAAGCGTTCCCGCAGGGTGGCGTCTCCCGCACCCAGTGTCGCGCTGCCCCTCCGAGTGCTGCTGCCACAGTCCCGCAGGAGCGTCCGCCCGTCTCCCCGGCCTGGCTGAGGCTCCCGTGCACCGCGTGTGTCGGTCCCAGCGCACAGCCGGGGCTTCCTGACAGTCTCGACTACCGCCCCGTCAACATGTGCTTTAGTCACCCAGGTCACAGGGTCAGTAGTGCCTCAGATGCTTCAAAAATCCTTCTCCACCCCCTGATCAGTTCAATGTTCTTGCCAATTTTCTCACGGTTCTGCACAGCTGTCTTTAACCTTCTGGAACTTACTTTGGGGCACAGAGTGTAGGACCGGGGCTCACCCTCTTCACCTTGTGCCCAGGAGGCCCAGCTCTGCCGGGGGCTTCGCCTGGCTCCCACTGGATGGATCAGCTCCATTTCAGGACCAGCCATGGCCGCCGCTGAAAACCAGGTCCCAGCGGGAGAAGGAAGGAGAGCAGATGGGTCCCCTCTGGGGACAGTCGGTGGCCCCGCAGGGTAAGATCAACACCTGACAGGTTTGTCCTTTGGGACCTCTGGTCCCATGTGGATTTGTGGTTTCTAGGGCTGTGCTTGTCATCCGCGGTGCCGTGGCCTCACCTCCCTCACCATGGTTGCCCCCCACGTTCCTATTGCCCGGTGTCACCAGCACAGGCCCTGGCCCCTGGAGCTACCATGGGGAAGGACAGCGTGGGGACGGGGATTGCCGTGGCCAAGGCCGGCTCTGTCTTGCTGGGGCTGGAGAGGGAAGCACAGGCCCCCTCCCTGCAGTCCTGCCACATGCCCAGGCTGCTCTAAGTGGGACCAGGCAGAGGTGTCAGTGGACCCCACTGAACCCCTGTTGGCATCCCACCTACTGTCTTCCCACCCCTGCCCTCCCTGATGACTACCCAAGTGCTCCTGCCAAGTGCCCCACCCCATGCCCAGTTGAAACCAAGCCCCACAAGTGTTGGCTCTGTAGCTCGGCAGGTGGACCCTGACACTGAGCTGCCCTGATGGGCCTTCAGGACAACCCGCATCCCTACAGGCCTGTCGGATGCCATGCCCCTTGGGGAGTGGGCCCTGGTGGCCCCAAGATCTGCCTAACTTCCCCTGTGGATGTATCTCCCCCCTTTTTCCCAACAGACCTCCAGGGAGCCAACACCAAGGCCCCCTTTACAGACAGGCCGAGCCCAGGGCTGCTGCTGNTAGTCACCCAGGAGGTCACAGGGTCAGTAGTGCCTCAGATGCTTCAAAAATCCTTCTCCACCCCCTGATCAGTTCAATGTTCTTGCCAATTTTCTCGCGGTTTTGCACAGCAGTCTTTAATCGTCTAGAACTTTCTTTGGGGCACGGAGTGTAGGGCCGGGACTCACCCTCTTCACCTTGTGCCCAGGAGGCCCAGCTCTGTCTCAGGCTCCGCTTGGCTCCCGCTGGATGGATCAGCTCCATTTGAGGACCAGCCATGGCCGCCGCTGAAAACCAGGTCCCAGCGGGAGAAGGAAGGAGAGCAGTTGGGTCCCTTCTGGGAACAGTTGGTGACCCCGCAGGGAAAGATCAACACCTGGCAGGTTTGTCCTTTGGGACCCCTGGTCCCATGTGGATTTGTGGTTTCTGGGGCTCTGCTTGTCATCCGCGGTGCCGTGGCCTCACCTCCGTCACGTGGTTGCCCCCCCACGTTCCTATGGCCCGGTGTCACCAGCACAGGCCCTGGCCCCTGGAGCCACCACGGGGAAGGCCAGCGTGGGGACGGGGATCTCCGGGGCCAAGGCTGGCTCTGTCTTGCTGGGGCTGGAGAGGGAGGCACAGGCCCCCTCCCTCCAGTCCTGCCACATGCCCAGGCTGCTCCAAGTGGGACCAGGCAAAGGTGTCAGGGGACCCCACTGAGCCCCCGTTGGCAGCCCAGCTACTGTCTTACCACCTTGCCCTCCCTGGTGGCTTCCCAAGTGCTCCTACCAAGGGTCACACCCCGTGCCCAGCTGAACCCAAGCCACACAAGTGTTGGCTCTGAAGCTCGGCAGGTGGACCCTGACACTGAGCTGCCCTGATGGGCCTCCAGGACAACCCACTTCCCTACAGGCCTGTCGGATGCCATGCCCCTTGGGGTGTGGGCCCTGGTAGCCCCAAGATCTCCCTAACTTCCCCTGTGGATGTATCTCCCCCCTTTTTCCCAACAGACCTCCAGGGAGCCAACACCAAGGGCCCCTTTACAGACAGGCCGAGCCCAGGGCTGCTGCTGAAGCTCTTTATTTGGAGTCAGGTGGGGGGAGCGGGGGTGCTGCTGTGGCAGAGGCTGGTCCAGGTGGGGGTGGGGCTCTGTGTCCGGCAGCAGGGCGGGCTCCGGAGGTGCAGCCATGGTGGCTGCTGTGATAGGAAGAGGAACAGAGGTCAGTGAGGTCACAGTGGGAGTGGTGGGCAGGGGCAGGGGCTGCCACAGGAGCCACATTCAGTCACTGCCTGGCCAGGAGGCTTGAGAGCCATCCCGGCCCATCTAACGAGCAGGCCGGCCCTGGGCATCCTCGGTGGGTGTGCAGGCTGGGGGATTGGACCGAGTGGAGACCAGGTGTTGAGCTGACATGGGAGGGAGCCCACTACAATGCCTGTTCTGTGAAAGACCCCATAGGACCTCCCTGGTCAGCAGGGTGCAGGGCACAGTTAAAGGAAGGGTCTCCCCACGTGTCCAAGGAATCACACTCAGGTCAGACCCCTGAGATGACAGCCTTTGCCTGGCTTAGACAGGGTCTCTCCCGCCTGGGTGTTATGGGATGGGGACAGAGCAGATGGACCTTCGAACTCCATGAACTCAGCACTCTGGGCTTTTCCAACATTCTCCCAAAGTGTAACTTACCCTAATCTCCCTGGGGAACGCAGCTTTCTGTAGAAACCAAGAAAACCCAGAGGTGAGAGGACGCCCTGGTCACCAGCCCAGACCCCATCACTGTCCACAGCTCAGACCGTTGACAACCAAGTCCCAAGTCAGGGCCTTCGCACCCCTGTGACACATCACTGTGATGCCATTTCCCCCACAGAGGGGAGAGGGGGACATGAGGGGGATGTGGTCAGAGCTGTCCTCTCACCCATCTGCGTGGGTGTGAAAATGTTGTCCTCCAGGAATCCCTTGTAATGTACAAATTTCTTAAATTCTTCCAGGGCATCTGGGTTCACGTCGGGACTCCTACCTGTGGGAGAGTTGGGCAGGTGAGCCGAGTGGGGGACGGCTGCACGGCTCTGCAGGAAGCCGATGCCATGAGGAGACGGCCACCACCCTGCATCGGGGGCTTCACCGTGGGGTGGCCGTGGGCAGGTGGGGAGGCCAGAGAGTGGATGTAGAGCTCTGGGGTGGGTACAGGGGACAGAAGAGATGGCTGATGCCCAGCTGACAGAGCCCCAGAAGAGCAGTGGAGACACCCCAAGACACTGAGCAAACTCGGGGGACCCAGGAGGCTCTGGAAGCTGCCCTGTTGGGTCATGCCCCTGACCTGAAATGACCTTGCATCCTGAAGGCACTGGCTGCCCTCACTCCTGGACGGTCCCTGCCCCACGGAGGCCACTGTCACTCCCTCTGACACCCAAGACCCCAGGAAGCAGCGCTCGGCAGCTGTGAACACCCTCGTGAGAGGTCAGGTCACCGAGGGTCATGTCTGGCCCTCTCCCAGACAAGCCTCACCCAGGCTGCCTGGTAACCACTTGGGGAGCTTGGGTTGGCCACTGGGCAGCACAGGGAACCAAGCACAGAAAGGCCAGTACAGGGGGCTTTCTATGACCCCCAAGCACGTGACTGATGCTGGTTCCACTGGCTTCTGAAAAGAGGGACGTGGGGGTGGGAGATGCAGGTCTCCAGGGCCAGTCACCCATGAGATTTCCGATGAGGTGCCGTTTCCCGTGGCCGTGGTCTGTGCAGTACCAGATGTCATGGTCCTTGACTGGCAGCTCTTGTAGATACATGAGCTTCTTGCCCCCAACTGTGGACGACAGAGAAAATAGAACTTTAGTGTCTTCCTTTTGGAGAAAGCACCAGAGACCTCATTAAGGAGCACTCTGGAATGTTTTGTCAGTCACCAGGCAGCCAGCCAGCCTGAGCCCCGGCCTTGCCGTTCCCCTCAGCCATGGACCTCGACACTGGGGGAGGAGCCCCCTCCCAGAAAGGTCCCCACCCAAGCCACAGAGTCACCAGAGGCCAGAGCTTGCTCATCCAACTAAGATTCCCTGATACTCAACCTGTCACACCTGGTGTCTCAGGTCAGGGCCACAAGATCCTGGGAGGGAGAGCTCAGCCCCTCCTGGGAGGTGGATGAGGCCGGGACCCTCAGCCAGAAAGACTGTGCAGGAGATGCCCTGCCCCGCAGGTGGGCTGGGGACATCCGCCCGGGACTCACAGGTGCTGTATTTGCCCGGCTCCTCGGTTTTCTGCATCAGTATTTTCTTCTGGTGGCACTGACCCTCCTTCCTGGAAAATAGGAGTCATGTGGCAGTGACTCTGAGACACACCTGAGCCAGCCTCAGCTCACCTGGCACATCGACCCTGACCCTGTGAGCCTGATAATGTCCCCCCCAGCTGAGCTCTAGGATGCCACCTGGGAACGATTCCGCTCAATGTCGGGGGGCTTTTTACACCAACACCCAAAACTTAGACAGGGGAGGGGAGATAAGAGGGCCTCATGGGCTGGTGGCGTGTGACACTCACATGATGGTGAATGTGACCTCCAAGTCCCCACCTTCCAGGGCTGTCACTGTCACAGGGGACACCTTGCTGGGCCTCTTCCCCTCCAGCAGTTCCTTGCCAGTCACTACGGCCTTCACGTACCAGGTCCCTGTGAGCTGAAACAGGCCAAGGCGTGCGTCCTCCTCAGGCCCAGCCCAGACTCTCCTCTATGTCCCCTGCACATGGGCTGCAGCCGTGACCACACACCCCGGGGCCCCGGCTGCAGCCCCCAAAGGCCGGCGGGGTTCCCGCACATCCGCACCTCTGTGCTCAGTAAGTGCAAGCCCAGAACTCGTGACCCCAGGCCCCCAATGGAGGCAGAAGGTGTCTGCCACCCCACGGAACCACTTTCTGCTGGGACTGGGCCCGGTACCGGGTGCGCCCTCACTCCAGAGGACCCTGCCCTGCAAGGCCTTTGGCTCTGGGTGTCAGTGCAGTAGGACCCCTGAGCCAAACCTGCTGCCCTGCTCCAGCCCTGTGCCCCCGGAGGTGCCGTGTCTGCTGGCAGAATAACAGAATGCCCTGTCCGTCCTCTGACCGCTCCAGACAAGGAGCGCAGGGTCGGAACCCCAGCCTTAAATGATGTCTCCTAAAACAGGCCCCACGGCCTTTCTCCTACACCCACCCACCGGCCCAGCCTCACATCCTGCTCCTCCGAGGTGAAGGACAGGGGGTCCTGGGCCTGCAGGGCAGCGACCAGACCCAGCACAACGGTCAGAAACAGGGTCTCCATCTCCAGTGATCTGTGGTCACGGCCACCGGCTGGTCACCTGAGGTGTCTGGAGGAGGCTGTGCCGGCTCCTTGCACAACGCCCCTTATAGCCCCTTGGCTGGCGGCCGTGAGCAATTGGCACAACCCACGTCCCGCCCCCATCAGTGGTGGCCAACTTTGCATCCGGGAAGGTGGAACGTCGGTGTCATTGGGATCTGATGAGTAACAATTAAGTGTCACACAGAGAATAAAAGATGCATAATGTCATCCGGTGTTGGCACCACCTCAGGTGTGCACTCACAGGTGAGCCGTCCACAGGGGACTCATCGGAGTGGGTTTGTGGGGGCACCGCGGGGCACTTCAAGCTGCAGAGGGGGGCCTCCTGCCCACTCCGTGCCATGTTCCACGCCTGGGTAGGCTCTCTAGAGCACTTGTCACTCCAGGGTCACCTTGTCCGTTCATTCCTACACGTGCTCACGGCCCATCTCTGCTGCTGGAATTTAACTTCCCGAATGTAGAGGCTTCATTCCCGTCATTCACACAATTCTCGTGGCTGCAGGGAGAGGACCGGCCACTTGTCGGTGGTCATTGTATATTTCCCCCTAAAGAAATAAAGCAAATTACTTAATCTCTGCCAGCCTCAGAGGATTCTTCTCCCACAAGGGGACCTATCCCTCCATTACTGGAGATCATCATGAAGACCTGTGAAGACAATGCAGGGAGTCCCCAGCTTCCCTGACTTGAACCAGGCTCCGTCAGTGCTGGCTTCCTCCCACCTTCCCACCGGGGTTGATATTCAGGGAGCAGGTGGTACATCACCTGCCACGAATACACACCTGTGCATCTCCATAACTTTAATTCCTCTAGACTGAGAGCCTCGACCTCCCCAGGGCTTTCATCTCTGTCATTGCGTTTGATAGCCCAGGTTCCCCCAAGGCAGGCCTCGTGTCTCCTACCCTCTCGGTAAATGGGCACATGAGGCACACATGCCATTAGCTGGCCTGTGTTCAGTTCACAGCTGAGCTCCTCTGGGCAACCAGCTCTGTTGGCTGTGGCCCTGGCCACCTCCTGAGCAAGCACATTGCCTTCCACCACCTGACCCTGCAGTTCCCGGGCCTACGTCATCTGCTGTGAGACCCAGCGTTGACCCAGACACTCTAGGAAGGTGCTGGGGCTGCACAATGGTGTCATTGTGTCTCTCTCTCCCAAGATTGGGTGCCCCAGGGACTCACTAAATAACCATAATAAGCACTCTCTGATGTAGACCGGGGGCTGTCCTGAAGGTGCTGGCATGATCGAGTGCTGGACCCTGTGTGGGAGGTAATGCTGGACACAAAGGCTATCCTCCCTGGGTGGCTCAGGGCAGGGCCTGTGCTCTTTTAGGACCAGAGATCAGTGACCAGGCTGGAGCCTTCATGTCACAAGGAATATTTTCTTTTCCATGTTCTGGTTGAATGGACCCCAGTCATATGGTATTTAACTTGTTATTTATGAATCACTGCCATGAGCACTTTACAATGTTGGCACATGGAATTCACCCCTTCCAAAAGACACTGGAACAACACGGGCAGACGACTGGGGGAACAGGGCTGCCAACCATAGATCCTGTGCTCAGTATGAATGACCATGTCCAGGTGCCTCCCATGGCCCACCCATCTTACCCACCCATTGCTGACCTCTAAGGGGTTTCCAGCTGTGTTCTTCTTAGATTCTGGTTGGATTGAAGTTTTGCAGACACCATCAATAGATGGTAGGGCAGGAGGTCAGGGTCAGCAGAGGGTAGATGCCATCAGGAGATAGTAGGGTAGGAGATTGGGGTCAGCACTGGTAAGGGAGAGATATCCTGCCCCATTGCTCTGTGGCCTGATGCACCTCCCTGAATGCCTGTGTTCCTTTCTGATGGTGGTCCCTGTTGGGCTGTCCCAACTCCACAGCATGAGCTCTCACCACTTCTGGTGACATTGCTCACTACCCTTGCTCCTGAATATCATGGTGGTCACAGCTTTTCAGTGCTGCTAATTCCTAGGTGCCTCACTGCAGGGGAGAGTACCTTCCTCTACTCACCATTTGGGTATAGAAGGTTTTGAAGGACCCACCAAACAAATACCCAGCCAGTAGGCAGGCTGGCTGAGATTGAGGTGCATCTAGAAGGCGTGAGGTAGCTGGATTAAGATGCATAACAGTGAAGGCTGCAATTCCAACTGGACAGTGGGGACTGTAGCTTGTGTAACTAGCCATCTATTTTAATTATATTTTAGAGTCTGTGGCTGGCCACCCTATTGAGTGGACTCAATTTGGAGCATGAGCAGGTCAGTGCAGTGCAAGGGGTGGACTGTGGTTGAAGCTGTTGATCACCAACCCTCTCAGCCCACCTGCAGCTGTCATAGACATTTCCTGGCATAGTGACAGATTCACTGCTTCATGCCTCAAGTGCCTGCATCCTCTTTTATGTGTTTCCCCTGCCATGCACTGGTGAAAGCCAGATGTGCAGGAGAATCAACCCACCCAGTCAATACGGATAGCTATTGATTGGATAAATAGCCTGGGCTCTTCCTTTGTGGTGGGAAAATCCAACATATTTCCCCCCATTTGTCAGAACTGAGATATAGTTGCCCATGATAATAACTTTCTCATTAACATACCTTTTATTGGATTTCCTACCTTCCAAATCTCACTTGATCTCAGACTTCTGGCTGCCAGAAGTGTGAGAGAATGAATTTCTATGCTTTAAGCCACCCATTTGTGGTACGATATTACCACAGCCCTAGAAAAGTAATACCAGACCTAGCAAATTAATCATTATATCAAAGGCAAATGGTCTAAATGTACCTATTAGAAAACAGTTGCCAAAGTCCAGCTTCAGTGAGGGGTGGGTACCCAAAAAGGGATGGAGAGGGTTGGCGAAAATAAAAAACACGGATGGAGACCTCAGTGCATCACTATGCACGTTCTCTCTCTGCAGGCTGTCAGCGCTTTGGGGCTGGACCCTAGTAGAGCATGAAACAATGCCATTTATTTAAATTTACAGCTCTGTAGGGGGGCTTGGGGTACTATTTTTATTACATCAGCAAGCTTGAGTCAATAATTCAAAAGGACGGGGGAAGCCAGTTTTTTCCCTTCATCAGCACGTCTCAGGTGATTAGCTCATGCTTCCTCCTTTTGGTATCAGGTTATCAGATTGGGACCATCCTCTCATTGTCCTGAAGTTAACCTGTGATCTTTTCCTGTTGGCAAGCTGTGGTTAATATCTACTCTATTAACAGTGTGGCAGCTATTGCGGTTACAAAGTGATAGATAATACTATCATATGACCTATGACTATTGTTAAATGTAAGTACAAATTTGCTAAAAGGAACAATGCTAACATTTAAATTCTAATGGGGATCTAATGATTTTATGTTCTAATGGAATGAAAAGGAACAATAGATATTTGAGCAGCATTAGCATGCACATTTTGAGGTTATGCATTGGCTGTGGCCATGTAATCTTGATCTAAATGTTAAAGTGTCCTTGTGCACAACACCATCCCTCACAAAACTAGGTGTACTCTCTTATTCTCCTAAGATCTAATTTTGTAGGTTTAATAATTTTACAGCATATATTTTTATCCCAATAAATGATTTTTAATGATTTATTAAAACTGGACACCACCAAGTAAAGGGGCTTCTACAGTTTCATTCCCATATACCTAATTTGTCCCAATCATATAATTTCTTATTAATGCTAACCATTCTCTTGCCATTAATACAATCTCCAGTAAATGACGTTTGCCAACTTAGATCATACTTTGGACATCTCCTGAGATGGTACCAAATTTTTCCCTTTCTCATTTTATATCCCATGTAACCATTTACCCAGATGGTGGG